TTTAATCATTTTATTATGTAACAGACAGAAGAAATGCAAATTATTTAAACAATTTGTGTGAGATGCACACATTTCAGACGAAGAGACAGAAATATTAGGATTATTACTGTGTCACAAAGTTCTCTAAGGACTAAGGAAGTAAAAAACAAGAAAACTGTACACAATTTTTTCATTTTAAGTTAATTATGCCTTAATGCATGCTTTCAAATATTTGGGAATAATTTCAGCAATAAGTTATACAAGTTTGGGGAGAATGGGATGCTCCATAAGCATGTATTCAAATACAAATTGTGGGAAATTGTATGTTCTTTTACATTTTAAGAATATTACTACCCTAAAAAAAAGTTTAAAAAAAGAAAATGTATGGCCCCATGCACTGATGTTGTTGAAGGTTGATCAGGAACATTGATTTATAGGCTCAAATTAACCCTTCTACCATTTATACTCCCTAGTGAATATTAAAAAATGTTATACAATATCTGTGAAATCAGGTACTGAGTAAAAACAAGAGTGCACACGCTGAAATGTCTCACCTTCTTTACTAATCATTGATATTATGTTGATAGTCCTAAATATAAAGCTTTATTACAACTGTCACATAAACTTAACATTAACCAAGTAAACTAAACATTGACCAATGAACCATGAAAATGAGGTCAAGGTCAGATGAACCATGCTAGGCAGGCATGTACAGCTAACAATTCTTCCATACAACAAATATAGTTGACCTATCGCTTATAGTTTAAGAAAAACAGACGAAAACACAAAAACTTAACACTGAGCAATGAACCTTGAAAATGAGGTCAAGGTCAAATAAAACCTGCGTAACTGACATATAGATCATAAAATATTTCCATACACCAAATATAGTTGAACTATTGCATATAGTATTAGAAAAAAAGACCAAAACTCAAAAACTTAACTTTGACCACTGAACCATGAAAATGAGGTCAAGGTAAGATGACACCTGCCAGCTAGACATGTACACCTTACAATCATTCCATACACCAAATATAGCTGACCTATTGCATGCAGTATTAGAAAGAAAGACCAAAACTCAAAAACTTAACTTTGACCACTGAACCATGAAAATGAGGTCAAGGTCAGATGACACCTGCCAGCTAGACATGTACACCTTACAATCATTCCATACACCAAATATAGTAGACCTATTGCATACAGTATAAGAAAAACAGACCAAAACACAAAAACTTAACTATAACCACTGAACCATGAAAATAAGGTCAAAGTCAGATGACACCTGCCAGTTGGACATGTACACCTTACAGTCCTTCCATACACCGAATATACTAGACCTATTGCTTATAGTATCTGAGATATGGACTTGACCACGAAAACTTAACCTTGTTCACTGATCCATGAAATGAGGTCGAGGTCAAGTGAAAACTGTCTGACGGGCATGAGGACCTTGCAAGGTACGCACATACCAAATATAGTTATCCTATTACTTATAATAAGAGAGAATTTAACATTACAAAAAATCTGAACTTTTTTTTCAAGTAGTCACTGAACCATGAAAATGAGGTCAAGGACATTGGACATGTGACTGACGGAAACTTCGTAACATGAGGCATCTATATACAAAGTATGAAGCATCCAGGTCTTCCATCTTCTAAAATATAAAGCTTTTAAGAAGTTAGCTAACGCCGCCGTCGCCGCAGCCGCCGGATCGCTATCCCTATGTCGAGCTTTCTGCAACAAAAGTCGCAGGCTCGACAAAAAATAACATCTTGGATATTCAGAAGACTGGAATTTTTTTAATATTCACAAGAATAGTAAATTAAGTGTATATATATATACATTTTTAATAAAATATTTTCAATTAAAATTTGAAAAAATATTATACAATTAATATAAAAAAATTTCTTGATTTGTGCTTTAAGTTTTAAAGATTAATTTTTTGGCGAAAAACAACAGATGATCCAGTTTTTGGAATCCATCAAGTTCTTTTTTCAATTACAAAATATTTTACTATTCACAAACAGGAAGTTTTTTTAACCAGATGTCACTCTGCTCAGAAATAGACAAGCTGGTCTATGAAATGACGAAAGTCAGTAACAGATGTTGTGATTTTTCCCAATAAAAAATGTACTGAAAAGTAGAGTTCAATGAACAACGATTTCTCCAAATATGTCATGTCAATGCAAGCATAACATGTCGAGATGATTTTCCTATTTTTTAATTGGGACCCAACCAATTAAAGGGGATTTATATATATGCATCATAAGGAAATGAATTGAACAAATAATAAATATGAACCATTTGCCTCTTTCATTCATTTATATTTGGTTCATTTTACAGTAATAGCATACACTCAAAACTTATCCAAGTCAATAGATGTGCAAGAGTGATATATAAGATATATATAAGGGAAGATTTCTTGTTCAGGAATGGGAGCCCAAAACCAGAAGAAATACTTCAGTAGCTATAGCTTTCAACACTAAAGACTGTTCTTCCATCTTCTGTATATATGTAAGATGACAGCGATACTGAGTGATTGTCTATATTAATGTTGCATCCTTTTATTTCCAGTGGCGGACCCAGGGGGGGTTCTGGGGGTTGGAACCCCCCCTTTTTTTGGCCGATCAATGCATTTGAATGGGGACATATGGTTGGAACCCCCCTTTCTCCTGGGTTGGGAACCCCCCCTTTTTAAAATGGCTGGATCCGCCCCTGATTTCCTTCTCCTTTTGGGGACCTACAGATGTACATACAATTTTTTTTCCCAGTTCAGACAGTTAAATTTTGAGATTTAAACATGAGACTTATGGAGAGTTTAAAATTCAACTGTTGAGTCAGTGGAGAAATGTACTCCAAGAGATTCAGAGGTGGAATCGGTTTATCTAATTATTTTTTACACCATATGTAGACAAACTTTCTTTTTCTTTTTAATGTTTAACAAAAAGATGTTTTTTTCTATGTGATGCCATTAGGCATAGTTTCCTTTATTTGTGACGTCAGGATAGGAAATTTAGAGGAAAGCAAGAAAATGTTATGCCATAATTGAATTTTGACCAATGAAGAACTGTGATCAACCTAACCACATATTGATTATAATAAAAAAAATCAACTGGTCGATAAAAGTGTCAATTGACTAAGAATTAGACCTGTTTATACATTACTGACTTAGATCCAGACTCATTTTATTTGAAGACTGATGGCCGATGATTTTATAGTATCAAGTTCAAAAGATTACATGTTATTGAAATTTTCCATGTTTATCTTCATATTCAATTTCAAGATCACTCCAGCATAATTTACAAGAAAAAACATCACAATTATCAAATTGTACCATTGGGAATCAACTACTAATAGTCTGTCTAAATTTATCTTAAAAACTGAGATAAAATAGCTTTTATTAATAAATAAACAAGAATAATTATAGTGTTAATTATTGAAGAATTCATCTATAGAAAAAATATTCAACGAATGACAATAATTCACAAATGCCTGTATCCCATGAGTTAATTGTCGGTATTGTTCCATCATGAGTTGAATTTTTTTTTTATGTTTGGAATAGTTATTCTTTTTATTTCAGTGAGCTTACTTATAGAAAAAAAGTATATTTTTAAAGTAAATTTATCTTAAAAACAGTCATAAAAAAGCTTTTAAATAAACCAGAACAATTATAGAAGAATTCAAATATAGTAAAAAAACAAAAAATTCAACGAATGACCTAACAACACATTAATTCACAAATGTCTGTATCCCATGACTCCCATATATTTTAAAGATAAATTGGCACCTTCAAACATGTTTAACCCAACCACATTCTATATGTGCCTGTCCCAAGTCAGGAACCTGTAATTGAATGGTTATCTTTTTTTTGCTATTTCTCATACATGTATAAAAATAAGGAGATGTGGTATGATTGCCAATGAGACAACTATCGACCAAAGGTCAAAAGAAATGGATGTAAGTAATTATAAGTAACCGTATTGCCTTTAACAATGAGAAAAACCCATACAGTATAGTTGGCTATAAATGGCCTAGACATGAAAAATATGAATCAATTCAATTGAGAAACTAATGGCCTATTTGTTTTTCTTTTATTGATTTGCATATAGTTTGTTCTTGTATCGTGCTGTTACACCACTGTTCAAGGTTAGGAGGAGGGGTGGCTCTTTCAAACATATTTAACCCCACCACATTCTTTATATGCCTGTCACAAGTCAGGAGCCTGTAGTTCAGTGGTTGTTGTTGGTTCATGTCTGTCATATTTGTTTTTTCGTAAATTGATTTGTTATAAATTAGGCTGTTGGTTTTCTCAATTGAATAGTTGCATATTATTCATGTCAGCACCCTTTATAGCCGACAATAGGATATAAGTTTTTCTCATTGTTGAAGGCCGTACTGTTGGCTATAATTGCTTACATCCACTTCATTTGAACTTTGGTGTATAGTTGTCTCATTGGCTACAATACGACATCTCTTTATTTTTATATAGAAAATACAAGGAACTATATTTTTCTACGCATTCTCAATTTGTTTCGATGTAACATCATCAACAATGTCTTGACAACACCCATTGTTGTATGACATCAGAGAAGTGGAAAAATAGGATTTATTATATACTTAGTTGTTAATACAGGTTAATTGTATTTGTAATACAATCAATGGTATAATCGTGCTGTATCAGCCATCCCTAATGATATCGATATCAGTCACAATTTAAAAGGCTTTATCAAACCCCTTATCTGTATTACGTCAAATCACATGAAAAATGTCTACTTGAGGTATATATAATAAAGTGTATATGATATGGCTTTTTCAATATCACACTGACACACCGTATCAACCGTCTTGGGATTATATTGGTGTCTTGGGTTGACACAGATGTGATATTGAAAAAGCCAAATGATATTCTCTATTTATTTCACATGTGAAATTATCATATCAAAAAGTACTATGAAATCACGCTATTTCATTGCAACTAATGTATTAATAGTCTTTAATCCTGATTCTAATCTTATACTTACTTAATATCATATCTTTTCTCATCCCAACAGAAAAACATTTGTGGAGACGACATTTTTTACAAAATGACCTTGAGTCTACTGTGACCTCACATGTTCCTTCACATCGCCCTCGTATTGTCTACAGAAAAAGAAAATCACACAACTTATATTAGCACATATATATTTATATTATTACATTACATGTTTGTTTGTTTCATAATAATCTGTACTTTTGATTGGCTGACAATAATTACGAGGTGAGGTACATGTATTCCAAAATGTTATTTTATTTCTCAATAAAATGCAACATTCATGACTGCATGTGCTTCCCATGGCAACGTCAAAACAATGCACAGGACATTTTTTGTAATTTCATAGGATTTGTAAAAGATCGGGCACACATTTTTAGAATGAAGTGTTTCTGCACTTCATACAAAATGTGCTTCAGTCAACGTTTTTACACCCTATAAAAGAAGCATTCAATTTTTAAATACAAATGCAGTGTTTTTCAGGAATATTTGTGTAGCAGGTTGATCCTAAAATGAAGGGGTTGCATTCTAATCAAAATTTCTAAGTGGCAAAACATGTCGACTACAATAAAATATTTTCTTGCCATAACCAGGAAGTTCAGTTGTCCTTATATAGTTTTTGATCAATGAGGTTTTAAAATAACTGCAGCATACTTGGGTATCAATCCTGATAACTTTACCGGCTTGTACCGCCAGAAGGTGTTGGATCACTTGACTTATTTATTCAAAATTTATATAGATAACTTTTGTAATTGATAGAAAAATAGATAGCCTTGTTCAAGTGAATTAGAAATTCATCTAGTCAGCAAATGCAATGGCTTCAACTGAAAACATACAATAGAAAAACAAAGGATATGGGGTATTCAATGACACAAAATCAGTACATGCACAGCAAAAAACACACAAAGCAAAGGAACAGCACTTTTATTGCTTTTGCAGTGAGGCCTTTAACACAGAGCAAAAAACTCTCACCTCACTGCAAGTTTCAGAAGCATGTCTCCTTATATTAACACATCTAATAGTAATACTTGTACATCTGGGAAACTGTGTTCAAACAGTAGATTTAAAATGTTGATCAACTGAATTTCATATCTGAAAGATTGATTTCTGTACAAGATTCAGATGATTGTTGCTTGCTTAATGTCCAGTGGCAAATATTTCATGCATGTTCTGAAAGAAATGTTGAGATTTCCTCCAAAATTCATGAGGGGAATCTTATGTCTCGCCTACTTTCAATGTTTTCAGCAGATTTTTTTTTCACATGTACTGTGGATTCATTTATTTTCATGGGTACCAATTTTTGTATTTTGTGGATATCTAATTTCTTCATATTGCTGAAGTACAAATACAAGCCTTTAGAAATTTTGTACTTAGTTGAAAATATGAATTTGGGGTCCACCGATATCCAAGAAATCCATGATAATTGGTATCCCAATAGTTAAAAGAGGCACTTTCAAAACTTTATAACAAGGGAGATCTAACTTTTAAGCATTGGACATCAAGTCTCAAGAGTGTATTAAATTCAATATGATCCAGATTCAAAACAAATAAAAAACAGAAAACAGAAAATACCTTTGCTAAATTTTACATCGCTGACTGTATTTAGATCATCAAAATTTCTACTGAACTGCCATAAAATTTTATAAAAATTTAATGACTTAGCACTTTCTTCAATCAAGTTGTAAAAACGTTATTACTTTATTTTTGGCAAACAAAATATGTGTCTTTAAAAACTTTATTAGGAGTGTTTAAAAAAGTGTTAGTTTGAAAAAAACTAATTTAGCTTCACTAAAAAAAAACCCACAAAAATGGAAATAGATGTAATGACTTTATTTAACTGTTATTATTTGTCAATTCACACCTTTACAATGCCTGACAAGTAGAGAAATAAAATTATCTATCTCTTGCATTCAGGACTTTCATATTAGGCAAAACAATAAAAAAAAAAAGATCATATGAATATAAGTTTTAAGCTTCTGACAGATGTATTGCAAAAAAAACCGAGACATGTAAAAGATAATTGTGACAAGCATAATGCTAGTCGCGCATTCATGCAGTTTGCTCACAGAAAGTACCAAAATCTTTTAATAGCATACAGCCAGCATCATGCCAATAAAAAGATATTTGCATACTTAGCATGTATGTGGAAAGTTTGTGACTAGGATTCTGCAAGTACCACAGTTTGGTCTGGGTGGTCTTCTCATATCTGAGTGGTGTCAGCCACAAAGATATGAGACGACTACTGTAAATTCAGAAATTAATACTGCATTTATCATTGCGATTTTTAAAGAATGGACAAAAATGCAAGATTAACCTTATTGCGATTTCAGGAAAAGCTGCATACAGATATATATGTATCTGATACAAGAATACAAGTTATTATTATTGTGATACATACCCAGTTGTATTATTCTCATTAATAAAAACCTCGCAATAATTTCTAAATTTTCACTAGATAACAATAATTTAGTTTGCTTATTTCATTGTAATAAATTTATCTCTGGAACTGTTTTTATTACCATATTCTAGCCAAAATCTCCCTAAATTTATGACTGTCAACAAATATTTTAAGTCCTTCATCAAACGTCATGGTGAATGCAAAACAGCATAAGACTTGGAATTTCTTTAATAAATATATTTACTCATAAAAACAGTCCTTGAACTTATAACTTATTTTACAACTAAAATACCTAAATTGGTTTTAATTTGTTTCAATGCTAAAACTAGACCTTTTAATTTGATAAGTGGTATTTAAATCATGTGAATTTACTTTAATTCTCTGTTTCTGTGTTTAAAGGATATCATATCAAACTATTTTGTCAATACTAAATGTGTTGGAATGACACAAATCCACCCTCCACCAACATAATTTTCCACTGGTAAGTCAGTAAGTCACTATATATTGGTATAACTGAAGTATGTTATCTATTATGACTGTTACATAATTTTCCACTGGTAAGTCAGTAAGTCACTATATATTGGTATAACTGAAGGATGTAATCTATTATGACTGTTACATAATTTTCCAGTGGTAAGTCAGTAAGTCACTATATATTGGTATAACTGAAGTATGTTATCTATTATGACTGTTACATAATTTTCCACTGGTAAGTCAGTAAGTCACTATATATTGGTATAACTGAAGTATGTTATCTATTATGACTGTTACATAATTTTCCACTGGTAAGTCAGTAAGTCACTATATATTGGTATAACTGAAGGATGTAATCTATTATGACTGTTACATAATTTTCCAGTGGTAAGTCAGTAAGTCACTATATATTGGTATAACTGAAGTATGTTATCTATTATGACTGTTACATAATTTTCCACTGGTAAGTCAGTAAGTCACTATATATTGGTATAACTGAAGTATGTTATCTATTATGACTGTTACATAATTTTTCACTGGTAAGTCAGTAAGTCACTATATATTGGTATAACTGAAGTATGTAATCTATTATGACTGTTACATAATTATCCACTGGTAAGTCAGTAAGTCACTATATATTGGTATAACTGAAGTATGTTATCTATTATGACTGTTACATAATTTTCCACTGGTAAGTCAGTAAGTCACTATATATTGGTATAATTGAAGTATGTTATCTATTATGACTGTTACATAATTATCCACTGGTAAGTCAGTAAGTCACTAAATTAGTAAATATTGGTATAACTGAAGTATGTAATCTAATGACTGTTTTAACACCCACCTCCAACATAATTTTTCACTGGTAAGTCAGTAAGTCACTATATATTGGTATAACTGAAGTATGTCATCTAATGACTGTTTTAACACTGGATACAATGAATCTTCATTAATGTTTTAGCTATCTTTACTCTACGAGTAGTCAGTCTTTCAAACCCCAAGAGAAATTTGAAGCTCTCAAATCACTTGACTCTTCAGGTGACATTTCAATTCTTACATTCTAAAATTGTTAGCAAATGATTTGTATCAGCTGTGCAGAAGCGATAACCTTATCAAAGACATTTGCTGTGATGAGATTGCAGTACAATTTTATTCATAAATTTTACTATGAACAAATGAGTTGTGGGCTTTAAGACTTGTCTATTAGGGAAGACAGAATATCAACCTCTAGGGGTCCTTTGCTATATTGCATCAGCAGCTTGCATTCTTGTTAAATATACCCACATCTCCCTATCTTTTTATATTTACATCGATAACACAGAAATTATATATGTCTTTGAAACATAACTTCTAAATTGATCAATTTTGAATAATTCACATACATGATATTACTGTACAACTTGGTTGATTTTTAACTTATTAATATATAATTTTGGTTATAACAATTTTAGTTCAAAATTTGTTAACCCAAATAAATTTAGACAAAAAGAATATAGATGTCTATCAAACAATCCAAGCCAAAAATCTGATTTGTGACCTTCAAATTTTGCAATTACATGTTTTGAAATTTGTTCTCATTTCTGATCAGTTTAAACTGACTTACTGTTGAGTTACAGTTTGAAGTAGTTGTATGGAAACTGCAAGGTGTATTCAGTCAGCTTTAACATGAATGGATTGGAAATAGGATTAAAGTTGTGTTGTATCTTACTTTAACTGCTACACTTAAGACAATAATTAACTCACTTATAATTACATAAATACCAGATACCTGTCAACCAAATTGCAGTCAACAACAAAACAAGAAATGAGCTGTCAAATTGACAGGACAGCCAACTGAGTTTTTGTATTTTGAGGGTAACCATTGTTCAACTTCAGAGGCAGCTACAGTAAAATGAAAAAAGATGTATGCTAATGTATGGCAGTCTGCCAGACTTGTTTGACCTACATTCTGTCCATAAGGATCATAACTTCTGAATGGCAAAAATGAAAATTGTCAATTTCAAACTTGACCTCGATGTTTCATCAGTAACTTTAATGACATATTAAAATTTTTAAGGAATTGGATGAACAGTTCATAAGCTATTGCATGGAAATGATGTAAAGCACCATACTCCAATCAATCAAGGACAAATTAACTTCTGAACCATAAATGTGAAAATCAAATCATCAATATTGAACTTCTACCTCCATTTTGTCATCAGTTAAAACATATCAAATTTGAAAAGCTTTGTTTGTATGTTCATAAATAATTGCACAGAAAATGTTGGCAGCTGCCCACCATACTTCACCATTTTAATGACCAGATTTTTCCTATGGAAAACTCGGTTAAAAAGTGCTTCTGGCTTAGACAGTCACAGCTCACATCTATATACTGCATGTAATTATATATTGTTGTTATTTTGGTCAAATTTTCTTTAAAAAAAATTTAATGGCTAATTAAACAAAAAGACATAAAGGAATTTAAAAGTTTTAACAGATAATAGAATTTTTATAAGGTGTTTTTTAATATTTTTATATTTGTGGGATATAAAAATGTAACATTTCTATCATTGTATACATTATAATTTCTTGAAATCTATATAAAACTTAAGAAAATAAGGTACAGTCATTTAATGAAATGTTTTCGTGCAAAAAATGTAGGACACTGTAGCCAAATTTTTTAAGGCATCTACAATACTATCCAGTTCAGAAAATTATTGAAAAGTCAACCAGTATTATTCATGCATAGCTTGCTATGAGGTATGGCTTTTGCTCATTGTTGAAGGCCGTACCATGACCTATAGTTTCTAACTTCTACTTCATTTGGTCTCTGGTGGAGAGTTGTCTCTTTTGGCAATCATACCACATCTTCTTATTCTTATATAATATGTCAGACTAGAGGACCTGGGACTTTTTTTACAATCAATTAGGTTGAACCTGGGTATTTGCATGTAACATGCCTGCAGAAATCTTTTGTCTTCCAAAAATGTTGATTCTATCACTGCAGTTTCAGAAATTTTGTTGGTTTACAAACATCTTATATGGTTTGAAGAAGAGGGTTTATGCAAGATGTCTGGTTAAAGACCTTTGATAAACTTGGTGTTACTGTTAACTAAACTTGAGCAAAATTAAATCAGAAACTTTTGAAAATATTATACAGATGCTTAGACTTCTATGTCATTAAAATCACAAGTGACACTCAATCTCTGGTTGTTAAATTACTAGACAAAAGTCAATTGTAAAAAAGACACTAAAATCTCCATAATTTATAAGCATGAGGTAATAAATCTTATTAATTATTAAGGTTTTGAATTATTTTTTTTACTATCTTACACCATCCTACACATAAACAATATACTTTATAGGAACCTTGACATCATAAACCTTGACATTACTATTTATATCATACATAATTATCTTGTTTCAGATTTAAGAAAAACATAGTTAAATCTAACCCTTTAATATATATATAAAAATATTGTAACTTTAATGTCCTTCATTAACATTCATAATTTTAGTATGATTTAAAGCTTTTTTTTTGCATCATTTGTTTTAATAAGTTTATCGATTTACTGACATAATGAAATTTCAATACTATTAATAATGAAGTGAGCCTGATTTGTATAAAACCATGTGACTAAAAATAGTATCTCTGGTAAATGTATTACAGCTGCAACACAGTTGGTCAAAGAGGAATACCCAGGATAACATGCTAATAATACATCTATAAATTAAACGATATCTTTTCTACCATTGACAATTATAGAATCACTTATCCAAGAATTAATTGGTAAATATCGAAAAATATGGAACAAATGACTGAACAAAAAATTCTTTGATAAGTTATTTTTTTAATTACATTGACTTTTAAATAGAAAATTTAACAATCGTATCTTTTTAACTGTATTCTCACTTCGATTGATTGATTGTTGGATGCTTAACGTTTCTCACTTTGATGCAACATCATTGACAACGCCTATTGTTGTATGACCTAAGATGGATTTCTTTCACATGTGAAATTGTCAATTTTTACTTGACTAGGAAATCCCCTTATTTCATTTTAATAAGTGATAATAAGCAGTTATAGTTCCTATCAATATATCATTCCATGGTCAGACTAATTTTAAATCAAAAGCTTATATGGTACTTTCCCTGACTCCAACTCTTTGCAATAAAAATGCTTATGATCCCTATCATTAATGTCAAAAAGTCAGACAATTTAATGTATTTTTCTTGCATCAACCTATACATGGAAGGATTTTCTAGGACATTGACCTTTTATCTTGTGCATAAAAAAAAACAAACTTATTTATGGACAATGTGAACAAATCATTTTAAATATTAACATTTTCACCTGTTTCAAAACAACAACAGACTCATTTATGGACAGTATGAACAATTCATTTTAAAATATTAACATTTATACTACATCTAGCACAATTGTTGTCTTTCATCACTTTTCTTCACAATCAGAGGCTCATTTAGGGATGGAAAATAAGAATACATAATTATGTGTTTACACTTTAATACATATAGCTGTAGTCATTTTTAGTTGCAGTATAAAAACAATATTAAATCAATGTCAGAAAAATATCAACTTTTTTGCATTCAACACAAAACTTTTGGAGGCTTGGTAAATCATTAAGCCTCATAAAAAATAAATGGAGAATGTGTCTATGCCCCGCCACAGATGCCCCTGCTTGTAAATATGCATGAGTCGACTTCCACATACAGATGCAGGATTCATGTAGTTAAGACCGTTTTGTGATTATAAGCATTGTGTATAAGTTTCATAACATTTGGTTGAGGCAAACTAAAGTTAGAGAATGGCAACGACATATTTAGCAATTTTTTCATTTATAAAGGGGCTTATAACTCATGAATGGTAAAAGTGACGCCATCCAATTTCGAACTTGATCTGTGTTTGTGGTAATATAATCTTATTGTAAAAATTAAGGCCCTTAGTTTTCTTGTTAGAATTGTTTCACACTTACTGTGTTAGGTCCTTTTATAGCTGATAATACAGTATGGGTTTTTCTCATTGTTGTAGGCCGTACAGTGACCTATAATTGTTTTTATTTTCCTGATTCGAACTCTGGTGAATAGTTGTCTCATTGGCAATCAAAACATATTTCCTTATTTTTATATTTATACATTTTAAAATGTGTTACTAGTAGCAACAGTACTGTATTTTGAATAGTCATTTCTTAAGTACCTTGTGAGCATTTCTACGGAAGAATGCTTTACATGATTCACAGGACACTGCATTGAAGTTATAGCCAAGGGCCTTGTCTCCACACACTAGGCATGTCTTGTCCTTCTTCTGTAAGGACAGAGACATAACAGAGTCAGCTGTTTCTGCCTCAACATCCTGAAAATGAAAAAGAGAGAAATATATAATAAAATAGCAATACAGTCATACTATTTTTCTTTCATCAAGTTGAGAAAGTGTGTGAAGTTTGAATAAAATACATGACCAAGTGTGCCACACTCACTGTGTAAGAGTTAAAATAGTTAAAGAGAACTAGTACTAAAAATACAGACATCATAAATTATCACCCTTGTCATACCAACGGATATTTATGTTTAATTCTAGAAATAAAACAATACCTTAGACATCATATACATTGTAGGTCATCTTCCATGCCGACATTATTTCAGATGCTAGCTAACTATAAGTGCACAGAAGATCATCATACATTATCAAACAGAAAATAGGAAATGTCATAGGAAATAGTCCAATCACTCAAATTCACAGGGTACAAATACCCCAAAACCAATATGTATGTCTACAGTTATAATGACTTGTTAGAATGACTTAATTGACATTTATTTTATGTGTTGCTTCCAAAATCAGATCTCAGTACAATAAATCAAAGTACTGAAGTACTGTCTACTTAGATGACCTCAAGATCTGTTGGTTAATGAATAAATGATAGGGATTTTAATCTCACTGTAATACTGTTTGTACTGTTTAATACACATATATGTATAACAGTGGTGTAGCAGATCATCTTTATAACCTATTAGGCAAATGTTCATTCATTCAATGTCCATTCAGCTGAATGGCAAAAACGCCTGTATTTGACAGATCAAGGTCAATCTATCGACACAAAAAGTACCCGTGTGTAAAAATGTTTACGCCCATAAACAGTGCCACCTATATTTGTTTTTCATTGTCTTTTTGAACGATGTCCTGTTCTTTAGGAAATTAAAACATTAAATTAAATTTTAATTGAAACATAGAATAGTAAGTGTAGAAAACAAATTTAAAGATATATTTTCACATGACTGATTAGCATGATATGCTGGCAATGGGCGCAATATCCTTAAATCCAAGATTGAAAAAGAGTTTGTTTCCTGTGTCAAAATTGCTGATTCCAAAGTTTACTAAGCAAATTAACCACTTTTTTGTTCTTATTGTTTAACAATATATATAATTAGTATTTACTGATGGTATTTTATTGCTTTCAAGAGTTATATATAATACACTTTAAAGGCCAATCTGCAAGCTTTGCAACCACCTATGAAAATAAATGCCTAGGTCTTGAATTTAAGTCATGTACGTGTCCATTTTTCTCTATGAACATGTATAAAATATATCAAATGCCAAAAAATGCAGCTGTAATGTGAACATGGTAAACTGACATCATTATAGCCTCAATTTTTTACAGGGACCTAGCTAGACCTATATTTAGGCAAATATATATATATATAGTGGCCCCGCACCTACTTGAATCAATTGTTCCTATGCCTAAAAATTCTCCTGGCTCTGGCCCTATTAGGTAAAGTAAGGAGACAATTTGTATATTAGTCAAGTGTCTAAGTCCTGTCTTTTCTGATCTTTCTGAGTCTAGAGTACCCCTTGTAAGCCACCCACTGGAAAGCCACCAAGCCACAACTCCTCTTTTTCCTATGCTAGCTGAAAATGATGTACCAGTTTTGTTCATTGTTAATGTCTGTACAGTAACTGCATTATAACAGCCACATTATTTGAACTCTGGTGGATAGTTGTCTCATTGGTAATCATACCACATCTCCTTATTAATTAACTATGGGTTATTAGATGACTAACAAACATTCAATCATTTAAAAAAAATCAATTCTGCAATGATTTACATGTTGTCATTTTGAGATTTCAATTTATACATATGTATCAACAACAAAATTTGGTTGTATAAGTGGTGTCACTATGTTTGTAATTGTCCACGGTTTTGTGTAAACACTTCATTTAAGTTCCCTAATTCAAAGTATTTATGTACTGATTTGAGTTTAATATTTTGGGCCATTAACAATTTACTGTAATTTCAAAAATTAATAATGGTATTTATTAATGTGAATAATAACTTATTGTAATAGTACAAACTCACATCTGATATTTGATGCATATGTATATATATACAAGTCTAAATTGAAAACAATGTTCAAACCTATGATTGCGTTGGATAAAAACCGCAATTTTTATACGTGTGCATATATATATATATATATATATATAGAAGTCTATAAAAAGGACCAACCAGCAAATTTACTATGTACCGGATCGTCTAGAATAGACGATACTGTGCAGATAAGGAAAAAATTATATAAGTCTAGAGATTTGCACAACGATACTAATATAAGATGGTATTATACGAAGATGTTGTTAATAAATCGTGTTGACAAATATTTCAGCTTAACAAATAGCCTTTTTCGGTGTCAATTATTTTAACAATACTGATAATATGTATAAAAATAGCTCAATAATACAGGTAAGTTCTGGAGAATGTCGTTCGTGTGATGAAAAACGCTGCAAATGCTGCCTACAGATGCATCACTCATCAACTTTTCACAGTAAGGCAACCGAAAATAACTATAAGATATTTTGCAATGTTAACTGCAAAGTATGAATGTTATTTACATTCTGGAATGTTCGGTTTGTGGCCTCCAATATGTTGGTGAGTCAAAGCAGCCTTTCCACAAACGCCTCAATGGCCATAGGAGTGATATCTCTAAGAAGCCACTTCTCCCAGTTTCTCAGCATTTCAGACAGTCTGGTCACACACTTGATGACTTTAACCGCATGAAGATCCTAGTGATTGAACAGAACATTCACTGGAGTGATGCCCAGCGACAGGTTCGGGAAAGCTTTTGGATAACGGAACTAAATGTACATCATCCAAACGGCATCAATAAAAAATACTAAGTTTTATTTTTCACTCATTTTGGGTTGTAAATATACACAGTCACGTATATTTGAGTATTGAGTTTTGTTTTATATTATGATGTTCAGGATTTTGGATTAAATCAATAGACCAAAACTTACCTGTATTATTGAGCTATTTTTATACATATTATCAGTATTGTTAAAATAATTGACACCGAAGAAGGCTATTTGTTAAGCCGAAATATTTGTCAACACGATTTATTAACAACATCTTCGTATAATACCATCTTATATTAGTATCGTTGTGCAAATCTCTAGACTTATATATATATATATATATATATATATATATATATATATATATAAAAGTCTAAATTGAAAACAACGTTCAAACCTATGATTGCGTTGGATGAAAACCGCAATTTTTATAAGTGTGCATGTAAAACAAATTGCTTGGTAGAGGGGTCTAAATACAGCACAAACAACTATTTCCAAAAGACCAAAAAAAGTGAAAAAGTCTATTTTAACAAAACGCATTTGACTAACAGGTCGAACAACTGATGTTCTTAAACCCTGCTGACTGCCATTGGCGATTGCCAAATAAATTGATCACCAGATCTAACAAAATGGATCTTAATATTAATTTAATACCAAACAGAAAACAATAAACTTGTGGAAAAGATGGTATACCACAAACATGAGGTGCAAAAATTTGTACACCATATCCGGATTTCGACAATTAATGTCTCTTCAGTGATGTAATGGATCGAAACGGTATTTGGAAGGCCATATAATTTACCTCAATTTAGGAAAGACTCTTGAATTTTAAAGAGTCCAAATAGGATGAACTGATCATATAAATCCGAAGGAAAATATAATACAAGCCCAAACGAAAAAATATATAAAAGTCTAAATTGAAAACAACGTTCAAACCTATGATTGCGTTGGATAAAAACCGCAATTTTTATACGTGTGCATGTAAAACAAATTGCTTGGTAGAGGGGTCTATATCTATATTTATCTATATTTATATCTATAATGCAACTTTTTCTGAAATGGTAATAATCTATTTTTGTTGTGGACCTACAATAGAGTTTTTTTGTGAAAGTTAGAAAAATTGCCAGTATTTCAACCACATTTAGACCTAGGAAATGAAGAGCACATACAGAGATTGACAAACTAAATACTTTAAATTCAGAAATTATTGCAATGGTTTTTATTAATACAAATAATGCGACTTCGTGATTATCGCAATAATAAAAACTCACATTCTGATATCTGATCCTATGCTGATTTTCCTGATATTGCAATCATTAATTTCGCTTTTTAGTCCTTTCTTCAAAAATCCCAATAACAAATGCATGCAATAATTTCTGAATTTACAGTATTCAAGTCAGCTTTGTTTTGTTTTTTATTTCAACTGCCTTTGCCTCTTAGAGCAATTAAATGTGAATTTGGATTCAAATTAAAGTTGATTCAGTAAATTTCATGACACAATAACACTTCATTATTTCTAAAAAGCATAACCAGACTCTATTTACTAATCACCTTAATTCATTCATAATTCAATCAATAATTTAGTTAAATGACTCTTTCCATTTGTTGAAACTTATCATTTATTTGTAGGTAATTTTGAATTCAAATTTATGAAAAAATTTCACAAACTTTTAATGACAGAAATAATGTGAACTGTATGATATCATATTGCATTTCAACTTTTTGTTCAGTTTTCTTTGCATAGTTTATAATGTTTTAAATCCATTTCTGGATTTTTGGATGTTTGGATTTTTTCTCTTATTAAATTTAGAGCCAGCAGCAGAACTTGTACATCCTATATAGTTTCTAATCTTAAAGCAGGATGAGGTATTATATAATAATAATCTTTTATCAATTCAATATCAATGTTCACAATTTTGAGGCATGCATTGTCTACATTTTCAGCTTTTCCATATTGTATTTTATTGTAATAGTAATAATGTTCTATTGCTTCACAAGTTATACTGATGAAACAACAACAGAACTCAGGATATTAATCCATTCTCTTGTTTGTTTGCACGAGGGCACTAAGCTGGTCCTGCAGTGTACCCACCAATAACACCAGTGTGCATGTTTTTAAATTTATTTTAATATAAATTAATTTAATTGAAGTCTAAATTTATACAACAATGAGTTTGTTTTCTTTCTAAGAATATTTATACTAAGAAGTGAACAATGACTTGAATCAT